ATTTGTGCTGCTTGTTTTGCAGGTCTTGGTGCTATGTTTCTGTTGCAGGAAATGTGCTTGATGATTTGTATGCTGTTCATATTTATTTGCTGTTTAGTTTGGATTACTTTGGGGAGTGTGTTTTGTTTTGTTTGCTCTTGTTAAACGTTGAGTTTATCTGAGCCTCATGGCACGACTGAAACTTGTTCAATGAAGCACAACATCAGAATGCAGCATTGCTTATTGAGATAATGCAATATCCCTATTGTTCTCACTTTAAATGAAACCCAAGCTGGTCAAATCCCGCTCAAAGCAATTCAATTTTCAAAATACAATAGACTCAAGCAAAGATTATTTAGAATGTATGTCTGCCCTACTAATTGAATTTGACAAACAACTTATTTTGCCTTGTTCTACATGATTTTGTTTTACTTTTAACACACTAATTTTTACTTCCTTTGCTTTCACAGAAACCTGCTCTAAAACTATAAGATCGATCAAAGTCAATTATTTTACAGCAGGTTATTTGTGGTTTAAGTAAAAACAGCTGGCCCTGCAATAAGGATGTACCTTGTGGTGATATGTGCCAACTCCTCGCAGGTCTCAACAGAGCAGCAGACATAGTACTGGAGATCTTTTCATGCCTAATGTTGACTCAATTCTAATGTAATCGTATCTTTGGAAAGTTTTGTTACTACACACGTTGAGTTGAACTGTTTCTGCACTTCTATGTTGAAAGGTACATTCTCAAACAGGGGTGCTATTTCACTGGGGTTTCATCTGTCTGATAGCTCTCCCATTGACTATTAGTTGTGCCTGATCCTTCTTGAATGTGCTTTGAGATGATTACCTCTACCTGTGCTCTATTTCATGGGACCAGAGGATTTAGATCCTTTCCGTGTTTTTGAGACCAGTGACTCTTACTCTGCATTGGAGTTGGAATTGGATCACAAGCTAGTAATGAATGAGGAAGGCCATTTGGTTAATTCATTCATCCAACAAGAGTGATCTTCATGCCCACTTCTTCTTCCCAATCTACAGATGCTGCTTTTTCAGGGTAAAATGCTTCACCTGTCTCCAGTCATTTCTCATAACTCAGACCTTGGATTCTCTGCCTTCTGCATTAGAATATGTCTCTCAATTCCTACTAACTAGAAAGCAATACAGTACTCAAAAGTGTTTATTACTGTATACTGGTGTTAGGTTTGATCATCACCTCCACTGACTCATATTCTACTGTTTTTGCTTTATGGAGTTCAAAATCTTGTTGCACTCAATGACATGTTGGATGTGAGCAGTATTAAGGCTACAAAGACTTTAAGGATTCTTCCAACTTTATCCATAACCAATTCAATACTATTCATGGAGTAGATGCATCACTTATTTTATTCCTATGTGTAGCTCTTTATTTAGTTACATGGCTTGTTCAACAGATTTGGCAGCTTCATAGCTACCACTTCTAACTGCAGTTGGGAGGGAGTTGCCTTAGGAGTCTTCGATATTGACTCTTGACCCCATGAAGTCTCATGGTTTCAGGTTAAACATGGGCAAGGAGACCTCTTGCTGGTTATCACATACTGTCCTCCCACAGCTGATGAATCAGTTCTCTTCCATGTTGAACAACACTCATAGAGAGCACTGATGGAGGCAAGGGTGCAAAATGTACTCTTTGGGGGGGTGGGGGGAGGGAGGAAGGATTTCAATGTCCACCACTAAGAATGGCTTGGCAGCAATACTACTGATTGAGCTGGTCGGGTCCTAAAGGACATAGCTGCTAGACTAGGTTCTGTGATATGTGGTGAGGGAGCCAACAATATGGAAAACCATACTTGAGCTTGCCCTTACCAGTCTGCTGGCTGCAGATACATCTGTCCATAGAATAGAATCATAGAATCCCTACAGTGTGGAAACAGGCCCTTCAGCCCAACAAGTTCACACCAGCCCTCAGGGCATCCCACCCAGACCCATTCCCCCTATAACCCACCTAATCTACACCTCCCTGAACACTACAGGGCAATTTAGCATGGCCAATCCACCCTAACATCTTTGGACTGTGGGAGGAAATCCAAACAGATACGAGGAGAACAGCAAACTCCACACAGACAGTCACCCGAGGGTGGAATCAAACCCAGGTCCCTGGTGCCGTGAGGCAGCAGCGCTAACCCGCTGAGCCACCGTGCCGTATACTGGAAACATTGACTGCTCCTTTCCTCCAGATGCTGCCTGGCCTTCTGTGTTCTTCCCGCCTCCTGTTGGTCGACCCTGATCAGAGCCTTATACAGCCTGAGCAGCACATCTCTGCTCTCAGATTCTAAACCTCTTCCCAATCCTCCCCCTGGTCCTCACATTTTACTCTCTCGCACTTTGGGCTCTTACTTTGTGTAGTCAACGTCGATGAGACACCTTATCGAATGCCTTCTGGAAATCTAATTGTACCTCAACTGGCTCCCATTTATCCACTTTGCTGCTTCCTCAATGGAGTGGCTCAGTGGTTAGCGCAGGGATGTGCGGGTTAGGGTGGGTTAGCCATGGGAAATTACCCATAGTGCCCAGGGATGTGGGGTTTAGGGTGGGTTAGCCATGGGAAATGCAGGGTTACAGGGGGGCTCCGTGTGGACGATCTTCAGAGGCTTGGTGCGGATCCGACGGGTTGAATGGCATGTCGAGGGTTACGGAACAAGACAGAGAGCTCAGCTGTCGGCGTGGAGAAGGGACGGGGTTAGCTGGGGATCGGG